TCATATATTTATATATATATATATATATATATATATATATATATATGATATATGAAAAATATATCAAAAAATGCATGTAGGTACTCAAATGAAAGCTTTTGATGAGTGTAATATCAAGATGAGCTTATATCTTAAAAAATATCAATAATTAAGAAATGACCTTGTATTTTGTGAAATATTAACAATTTCAAAAATATAAGCTCATCCTGATGATACGCTCATCAAGACCTTTCATTTGAGTACCCACATCAATTTTTTATATATTTTATATATATATATATATATGAAAAATATATCAAAAATGCAAGTGGGTACTCAAATGAAAGCTCTTGACGAGTGTAACATCAGGATAAGCTTATATCTTTAAAAACATCAATAGTTAAGAAAGTACAGTGGAATTTAACAAAACCAACCTGTGATCTTGCCGACTTCTAATACACCTTCTCTCCCTATCAATCCGGGGCTTCCCGCAAGTTTTTTTGGACCCCACAGCCCAGGATTGTCCAAAAGGGTACGGATCTTGCACCAAGCGACCTCTGCGCGTCGTAAAGTCATCCTTGGGCCTGGAATTGAAATTTCCGCACAAGCCGCAGAGTCTTCCGCGGTAGCTCGTTGGCGCTGAAACTTCAATAAACCCAATTCCGTCCCAAAGTATTTTAATACCAATTTTGGTGTTAACTAAAATACTGTCGGCAGTTCGGTTTATCTCCAGCTTGTTCGGCAATCGGTACGGCACGTCGATTTTCATACCATTAACTTTTACCCTCATTCTCTGCCCGAGATTCACTCTCAAGTCGCCTACCTAGAAGATTTTAAATTTAAAACAAAGAATTTATAACTTAAAAATTGTAATAATAAAGGAGTAAAAATAAACCTTTAAAGCGATAGTTTTCGTCCAAGCAGAAGATCTAGAAGATTTCGCGTCATTGGTAACTCGAATATTGAAAGTGTGTCCCAGACAATCGCTGACCAGCTGATATTTACACGGACCTTTGAAGCTGAAGAACTTTCCGTCGAATGTCTTGTAGTGTGGATCTCCAAAAACGGTACAGACTCCATCGCCTGGAAATAAAATCACAGCAGATGATAAACCGATGGTAATTACAAAAAATTAGTGACGACAAGAGTTAATAATTACTCGCTATAAATATTACTTTCAACACAGCGCGGACAACACTGGCCCTCCGGGTGCTCAAGTCGGGAATTCGGCGGACAAGGCAAACTTATTGGCTGACACATGGGCATTGCACACCTTACTTTGCCCTGTATGCAAGCGCATGCCTTGCAGGAATCTAGTTTCCATGATTCGCCATCCTGCCTAGGAGAAATTTAAATGTTTAAATAACTTTTCTTGCATTTATATGATTAATAATAATTGTGATTAAATGGATGGAAAAAATACTCGCCAGGTAGGAACGTCCGCCGTAGGTGCAAGACGCGCGTGGTTCCTCGCCGACTGCTGGACATTGAGGACAGCATCGCCCTGGGACGGTAACTTGGTGCTCAGGTGTGCATTCCAGTACCGGACAGGTCTCTTTTATACAGGATATCGTTGAATTTGAGCACGAGCATCGCGTGCATTGGTCCACGTAAAATGTTGACCCGGAATTATAAACTGCTTGACTGAGCATACAGGCGCCTTTTGGAGGTGACATGTAACGTCCGCTGCCTGACAATCATTATAATTATAAGCTATATTATTGAGAGAGTAAGCAGAATTTTGTGGGAAGTGTATTTATATTAAAATGGGTTTTTATGGTTAAATTTGGTATCGTTGGAAGACTTGACCTTGTATCTTGTGAAATATTGACATTTTTTAAGATATAAGCTCATCTTGATATTATACTAATCAAAACCTTTCATTTGAGTACCCACATCATTTTTTTTATATATTTTATATATTTATATATATGTATATATGAAAAATTGATGTATTTATTAAGAAATGACCTTGTATCTTGTGAAATATTGACATTTTTTAAGATATAAGCTCATCTTGATATTATACTAATCAAAACCTTTCATTTGAGTACCCACATCATTTTTTTTATATATTTTATATATTTATATATATGTATATATGAAAAATTGATGTATTTATTAAGAAATGACCTTGTATCTTGTGAAATATTGACATTTTTTAAGATATAAGCTCATCTTGATATTATACTAATCAAAACCTTTCATTTGAGTACCCACATCATTTTTTTTATATATTTTATATATTTATATATATGTATATATGAAAAATTGATGTATTTATTAAGAAATGACCTTGTATCTTGTGAAATATTGAAATTTTTAAAGATATAAGCTCATCCTGATGTTACACTCATCAAGACCTTTCATTTGAGTACCCACAT